AGAAACTTACTGACAATCAGTGCGGTGACCAAAGAATAGAGGTATTTTGCAAAATCATATTTCAACTGCTATCAAGTTGAGCAATACATTATGTACAGTATGTTGACATTTTCAAGATGTCTTCTAGGGCAATTCTTATTTATCACATTGCAGTAATCCTGGGACATGGTGGTCATCAAGGCTTCCTGGGTCTGGTAGGCTTGTAGCTGATGCAACTGGCAAAGGCTTCTTCTGGCCATAAGGCCTGGGGGAGAGGTTGAAACTCTGTGGTATTTTCCACTGGAGCAACCACAGATTTCATCACTCTACCGCCATTCTTGAGTGCAAGCTCCAGTCTTTCTGTATGAATGCTTTTATTTACTATGTTTTATCCCACACTTCCTCTAAGGACTTCAGGTCTAGGTACTTATTTGCCTCTTAATCATAATCCCTTGAACTGAAAGACATAGTTTGCAAGTGACTCTTTATTACGAAGGGGTAGATTCCTCTAAATGATGCACCTGCATCTCAAGGGAGCCAGGACTGCTAACCACACTGCAGGCCAATGGCCTGGGGCACAACCAATAATGACTTCAAGCCACCTGTGTCAAGGTGCAGAGTGCCCAAAGTCAATTCAATTAAAATGCAGGGGAAAAAACTGGATTGTAACTCTGCCAGTTACAATCCAGTAATAACTGAATTAATAACTATTTTTTATCTAGCCATGTTCTGTCTTTTCATGATATCTCAGATCCACTCCTGGGGCAGCTGCTTCATTCTACCTCAGATGACCAAGCCCCAGAAAAATAAATTCCTGTTTTACAGCATGACTACAAGGTGCCTGCTGTCAATTGTTTTGCTGGCCAATCACTTGCAATATCCATATTGCTCCAATCTTTTCTTGCCCCAAAAAGCCACATGCTAGAGTCTTACTTCTCCCTTCAAATTCTGTGGAGCAGGACAGATCCTCCTCATTAACCTTGATTGGCTGACTCCTCGGAGGAGAACATTGTAAATGCACAGAACAATCTGATAACTACACTTGAACCTGCATGACAGGAAGATGCTGGTCAGGAAGGAAAGATACAGAATACATGTGTAGACATCAACAAGAGAGAGTGGCAAATCTAGCTGTGAATGCCTTTGCTGGCTGCTGTTGCTGCTTCTGCAGAAGTCATCAGAACTCCAGATTTTCCATGGTCAGCTAGCAGCCTTAGTATTGCTGCTGTCTAAGCCACTGCCTTTTCCCTCCCTCTCCTTTCTCCCACTCTTCAGCTGTGTCCTCATCCTTGCTGGATGAGAATTCTGACTGGGAGAACCTAAAAGAGGCAGTGAAATAAGGACAGAACCTGACCCATCCTTTTCCTTTTGGAGACCACAGTTACAGAGAATCAATGTTGTTTTTATATACCCACATTGTATTCGTTGAGGTAAAATGACACATTCAGAGAGTGGAATGCTCTATTGATGATTCTCTGTGTGAAAGGGGGTAGGGAAGGAAAAGAGAAACAATATATAATATGGAGATTGCCCTTTTTAAAATTTAGAATTCATTAGAATGAACACACATTGATCAAGCAAAACCAAAAAGTTAAAATTGAGTTAAAATAGTATGTTAATCATCAAATTCAGATTAACAAAACACAAATGCTATGTTCATGTAACAGGCTATGTCCTTCTTCCCTTCCCTGTCCAAATATTATGGATTAGTTTGATTGGTTCACTCAACATAGTGAAGTAATGAGTGTCACTCCAGAATAGGTTGAACCACAAATACCATATCAAACCATTTTATACTGGCCTGCAATGTTGAGGGAAGAACGCACCCAAAGTGTTCAATAGCTCTAGGGAAATAAAATCAGTGTCATTAGATATTACTGGATTAGTTATCACCAGGAGGAAGTTTAATGGAGGGCAGTCCTTCAACAGTGTTCCTGGTAATGAGATCAAAGTATCAATGATAGTCAGATTCTTTAAAAACTTGTGAAAACTTGAAATTCGGGATAGACTTTGGTCTACACCCAGCTCTCAAGTGTGCTGCATGTGTAATCCAAACATAACATTGTCATAAAGACATTTTGATTCAAAACCAATGTTAGGTACAAATTTATTTTTATTTTCAAGGTTATGAAATATATCTCACTATGCACATATACTGTGTAAGTGGAAAAAGGATATAAACATTACCATGAGGTAAAACCATATGACAGTCAAAACAAATACTGATGTTACTTCTCATTCTAATAATTTTCCATTTACCATGAATCTAGTTAATAAAAGGAATTCCTGACATACTTTAGAATTTGGAATATGGCTTCAAGGAATGGATTCTGAATAGTGGAATATCCCTAGGTAACTCAATGCTAATTGAACATACTCTTTCTCACATGTATATATTTCTAAAGCAGTCTCCATATGTAAGGCAAAAGTGAAAAAGAGCCATTATCAACTGAGCTTACATGTACAGCTCTAAGAAAATGTTTAAGTGAATGACCTAATAAGGAAATTACATTAGTCTATATGTAATGAATGGTTATGGCTATTGCATTGGCTAAAGATAGAGCTACCCTCCAGAAATAAATTTAATATCCTCCAAAATTTATATCAGTTAGTAGCAATGATCAGATTTTTAGAACTAAATGAATGGCAGGCAAACTGTTTTACTGTATCTGCCTTGAGTACCTTAAGGGCCTTCTTGTTTTAGACGCTTTCTTGCTCTAATCGTTCAAGGGGGAAAATGGAAGAATTCATCCAATTCCTGATATTTAATTGCTCTTGAAAAAACCTTTTGAGCTTTTCTTTTTAGTGAATTATTCTAGTATGATCACCGTTTGGGTTCTCAGCCCTATAACATTTTTTAACCTTTTCTTTAGGAATAACTATCAAACTTCCCAAATGAGGTTGCCACCATTTACTTTGAATTTCAATGGCTGCTGACTGTGGCGATGTTAGGGTTGGTGAAGTGGACTCTAGCACATCTGGAAGACACCAGATTGAGGAAGGTGCTATGAATACAGTGTTTGAAATACAGAACTCCAAATGTAATTATTTTGCGAGATATGCGAGAGAGAAAATTGAGCAAGGAATCTGGCAACTCTGCTGCCTAATAGCAAAATACATTTTTGCTTCATTTCACTTCCATCACAATCTTATAATTTCCCTTTTTAATCTAATATATTCTTGATATATAGACTACTCTGGGAGAAATATTGCCTTGAATTCAGAAAAGGAAGAATCCACTTAGAAGGAGCCTTTGTGGTCAGATAAGGTAAGTTGGTCCTTTGAGATGGTTGAATGTAGCCATCTTGAAGAGTTAAAAGGGTGGGTCTTCTTTCCCATTGTTGATAATGCTTTGAAATACAGTTTTTTCATGGTGATCCATCACCCTGTAGGTCAGTAGAATAGGGCAATTCTAGTGGGCAATCAGATCTAAGGGGCACCACTCCATTAAGAACTTCTTTGTGGCAGTGAATGGGATCTGAACAGGAACAGCTAACAACTGTATTTATTTGTTTCCCTGTTCCATTTCTGGGATGGCAGATTTTGGAGTAGGAAAGATTAGAAGATCTGAAAGTTCTGACCTATGACGTACAAAATGGTGGGAATGTTCACTTGTACAAATCCAGGTGAACTTGATCGGAACGGAAGAACGGAAGCAACACTTGAGTTCAATTAAGAACCTGCAAAATATTTTCCCAGGTTGGGGGAGAATATGCTCATATTAACTAGTAATGATTGGTGGGACAGAACTTGTCCTCTTTGCTACAAGAGACAGCACAGTACACACACCCCACACACCCCTTCAGTGGGCAAATCCCAGCTCTTTTCAAAATCAAAAATACCCCAATCCGTGAATTTTTTTTTAGTACCAAATAGGAAGAAAGGTTACTCCAAGTGGAAGAGGGTAGGTTCTGTTCTACCATAGGTGAGCTGTGACCAGTGCGTATGATGGGCTGGGGGTTGGGGTGGCGGGGGTTAATTAAAAAAACACATAATGTCTTTCACCCGTTCTCTCAAGGAATATCACAACCAGCCATATCAAGATACATTCCGCTGTCTAGTATTTTTCTAACCCCTGCCCCCACCCCATGCCTGCAAATTCTATTGTTCCCACCTCCCTTTGCTATTTTCTTTTTCCCTGGTCTCTTTCATCCTGTTGTAGATCTACAGATCTGGAGTCAGCGTGGTGACTGGATTAGGTCTTTCTTTCTTTCTTTCTTTCTTTCTTTCTTTCTTTCTTTCTTTCT